AGCAGGTGGATACGAAGGGTGACCATCATTTTTGGGCTGTGAATGGCAGGGTCGGAAACTTCAGGCTGTAGCATGAGATGGGGAAGACTCATTTCTTTAAAAAAAAAAAAAAGATTTTATTTATTTATTCATGAGACACACAGAGAGAGAGGCAGGGACACAGGCAGAGGGAGAAGCAGACTCCCTGGAGGGAGCCCGATGTGGGACTCGATCCCGGGACCCCAGGGTCACGCCCTGAGCTGAAGGGAGACGCTCAACCACTGAGCCCCCCAGGTGCCCCGAAGACTCCTTTCCATGAGACATTCTCTCGGGTCCTGTGAAGCAGTGGGAGTGACCCTTGAGAAATCTCTCCTGGTAATGACCGACAGCCGAGCAATATCCTAGCAGTATCGAGAGCTTTCATTTGCATTTAATAAAATCATTCAAAAACAAATCTATTACGAAAGTCCTTGGAAGATCCTTACACTTCTTGTTTGAAATCTTCTTCGATGACTTTGGAAAAGACAAACCCCGTGAAACTGGAATTGAACGGAGCCTAATGGTGTTCACCTTGAGGAATGGGGGGCACCTTAACTTAGTGCTTCCTTCTTTATGTCTTGGCTACAGAAATTTCCTGAAGCTCTCATTTAGATTGAATGGCTCTTGAACCATGAGATGATAAAATTCGGGTGGAGGACAATGAAAGGGTTGGTTTTCCTTATTCGGGCTCCATGGCTATTCACTTGGAAGACAACTGAATCATGAGTCTGTATCCGGCTCCTGCTAAAGGCGGATGATGTGTATTTTTCGCATTTGCAAAAATCCTGCAATGATAACTTTTTGGCTCAAAAAGGCTGTTCATGCCTTAAGAGAAAAGCAAACTTTCCAACGCATTAATTCACTCCAAAATCCTGATATCGGAATCCCTGGGTGGCTCAGTGGTTGAGCATCTGCCTCCCACTCAGGTCATGATCCCAGAGTCCCAGGATCGAGTCCCGCATCGGGCTCCCTGCATGGAGCCTGCTTCTCCCTCTGCCTGTGTCTCTGCCTCTCTCTGTGTGTCTCTCATGAATGAATAAATAAAAAATAATAATAATAAAGACCATGAGCTACACTTTTAGGGCATACGGAAGGTGGCAGGAGGGACGTGGACAATGCTGCATTGCTGTTCTGCTTCCTAATTAGTCTCCAGTGAACTGTGCGAAGCAGCTTTGCACCGTACACCTGACTTGCGATTCCGAGGACGGTAGTATTGGGAATCTAGTGGGGATCTCAGAGCCGAGCAGGACCCCCGCGCTCATTTTACAGAAAGAGGAGAGGCTGTGCCCAGTTCCGGGGCAGAGCTTGGACCTGAATGTGAGATTTGGGCTCTGAATCCAGCCCTTTCTGTGCTGCCCCCAGGCTTCGGGCTGGGGTCCCCGGCCCCCGGCTTCACAGAATCAGGGGCTAAGCGAGGGACGTGAGTGGCTCCCAGAAGGATCTAGAGGGCCCCAGCCTCCTGCCAGCCAAAGCAGCTCCGAGCTCTTAGGTTTGGGGCTCCTATGTGTCGGGTTAAAAAAAAAAAAAAAACAAGTCTCGTGCACCATTATCTTACTCAGAAATTGTCCAAACCCGTTCCAGCTCTCGGGGTTAATGGCAGGAACCAGGCCAGCAGAGGGAGGACGTGAAGTCGGCGCAGGGCCAGGAGGTGGGGACGTCTGACTCCCAGCGGAGGTTGTCAGACTGACCCCGGCGGCTGCAGACAGACGTGAGAACCACACTAAGCCAGGCTGGAGCCTCACAGGAACGTCCCCTTCTACCTCCAAATCGTGCGGCCCTTGACAGCTCCCCCAGAAGCGTGTCAGGAAGCTGCCCACAGGAGTCTGAGTCCTTGGCGCGTGGCTGTCCCGGGGCTGGTGCACACATCCCTGTGGCCCTTCTGGCCTCCTGTCCTGGCCGACGCGTCCCCACCACCTGCTGTGGGTGGCAGGGGTCCCGTTGCTTCTCCCCGGGGTGTCGATGCGCTTGTCCTCCCGAGGCCTTCGTGATCACCCTCCTGAGAGTGGGGCCAAGGCCACCTGCTCCTGCCCCCGCGTGTGCTGCGTGGGCGGGGGGGGGCGGGCTCGGAACACCTGCCGAGTGGGCTCAAGGATGCAGTTGCTGGGGCCCCGGGAAGGCCACCTGTGGGAAGGGGAGGGCTCGCATGGGCAAGAGGGGGCGCCGGTAGCTGCAGACTTGCCCGTACGTCGCTGAAGTGGCTTCGCACATACACGCTCAATATAGACTTCTCACACCTCATCAACCTCGGTTTGCAGTTGGCTTAATTTAGAGCAGTGACTTTTAACTTCCCCCCACCTCAAAACTTCTGAAGGATCCGAAGTCAGCCCAGACTGGCATTCTGGGTCTCATAACCGGGAAAAAAGGGGGTGGGGTAGGCTTGGGGTCCCCTGTCCTCGGCCAGGGGTGCCTTCGGAGTTTCCAGGGCATGCGTGCGCCCGGAGAACCTCGGAGCTGCACGCGGTCCCGAAGGCTCCGTGAGGGGCCGGTTGAGAGCTGGGCTTCGGGGAGCAGAGCCCCTGCTCCTGCTTCAACTTCCAGCGGTGACGGCCGCGGTGGGAAGGGGGGCCGGGGGCTGGACTGAGCACCTGTCTGGTGCCTGCTGTGTGCTCACCTGCTTCTGAGCAGCCACCCACGGGGCCCTGTGCAGACACACCTGGGGTTGGCATTAGCATACAGCTGCCTGTCCTCCTGTCTGTCCCCTCCTAAGCTGGGTGTCACCAGATTGCCCAGACTCTTGGACCGGAAATGTGTGTCCCACTTCGCATCACAGGGCCTTTCCGAGCTGGCACACGCCCCCCCAGCCACCCAGCAGTGGAGACACACCGGGGCCTTGCGCTGCGGGTGGGCACCACAGTGCGGCCCCCGCCGCAGTCCTGCGGTGGCCCCTGAGCCCACCTCCCAGACGGAACTGAGACAGAGGGCTCCAGACCCCCGCCCTGGCCGCCGTTCAGCTGCTCTGCGGGGATTTGAACACAGGTCTTGGTGACCCGAAACCCTGATGCTCGTTCACTGCGGCCTACACCGTATAGAAGAAAGAGTGTGAATTTAATTGACCTACTTGTTCAGCGACAGTGACAAAAGGAAAGGCAGGAAACAAGGGTCTGGCCTGGCCATCTGGGCCGCCGTTGGTGGCTGCGCAGGGGAGCCCCTCCGAGTGGGGTCCCCGGCATGACCGCGCGGGGCAGAGTCACCGGCTGGGTGGGCAGGGCGGCCGTCGAGGTGTGACCGCTCGTCAGCAAAGCCCTGGCAGGAAGGGTCTGGTCGTATTAATCCCGGGCCAGTGTTTCTTCGTGTTTACCCTCATTAAGAGCCGCGCAACAAAAGCCAGGAAGGACGCGGCGGGACGGCGGGTCTCGCTGAAAGCATTCACTGCATCCGGACACATTGCCTTGTGCATTCGAGCTTCTCCGAACAATTCCTCCTTTGTGCTGCTCCCGTCTTTACTTACGAGCTCTGTTGTGAAATGTCTTCTTCTTCTTCTTCTTCCTTATTTTTGTTCTTTTGTTTATTTTATTGTTGGGGGTCTCAAATAAGCCAGCCCCCGAAGGAACGTTCCCCTTGGCGCTCTTTTGGGTTCGCTAATTCTACGTTGCCAGTCGGCTGTCCTGTTAAAGCCCTGGCGACGCTGGGGACGGGGATGCACTTGACTCTCCGTGTGTGGTTATGTGCAGGGAGCCCATGGACGTGTTCACGTGAGGCACCCGGCAGCTGTGTGCTGGAGGAAATGACTTTAAAATAAGATACCAAAAAAATAAAAATAAATAAAAATACCAAATACATGGATTAATTAATAAATAAAACAAAATACACTGAAACTGCAACCCCGCATCGTCCTTCCTCCCTTCCACAGTCCGAATCTCACCAGGCAGGGCTGAGATTCTGCAGTTTCAAATCTGCGTCCACATTAAATTAAAAGAGAACAACCCTGCTACGGAGCCCGTCCGGAGTCGCGCACTCCTGTGCTTCTCCGGGCCTGGGGAGCTCAGTGACCGCAGAGATCCTGGGAGCTCGCTCTACTCATAGACTTAATGCATCTTTGAAGAGCTTGCTTGGTGGGTGTGCCAGATGGCTCCACGCTCCCACCGCTAGTGTTTCACTTTGGTGGAAGTCTGGCTCTGACGGTTGCAAACCTCGGCATCTCATTCTTCCTGCTGCAGGAACGTAGTGCTCAGAGGGCAGAGAACCTCCACCAAAGACACTTCTCTGCTGGTTCGTTCTCATTTTTCTTATCCCTCCAAGGTCACCTCTCCTTTGGGCCAGATCTGCCTCTCTCGCGCGTCAAAATGAAGAGAGGAAGAGAGTAAATAAAATAAATAAAATAAAAGTGAAGGCGGTGCCAGATGCCGACAAAGCGTGCTGTTAAGACTTTTAGGCCAGATTTCAGATGTTTGTGTGGAACGTTCTCAGTCTGTTTCTATTTGGAAATGATTTTTTTTTTTTTTAAAAACTCATTTTATTTATTTTTTTTATAAATGTATTTTTCATTGGTGTTCAATTTGCCAACATACAGAATAACACCCAGTGCTCATCCCACCAAGTGCCCCCCTCAGTGCCCATCACCCAGTCACCCTCACACCCCCCCGCCCACCTCCCCTTCCACCCCCCCTCTAGTTCGTTTCCAGAGAAAAGCACTCATTTTAAAACATCTTCAGTGAAACCCAGGGTCAGCTGGAAAGCCTTCAGCATTGTCATTCACCAGTGTCACTAGTCCGAATTTTTAAATGTGCTTGCCCATAGTCCTGAGAATCTAAGAGGCTGATCCATAATGTGATTTTTGAGGGAAAGTTCTGCTCTGACCACATATATGGCTACGGCTTCCTCCAAGTTAAAATGTTTCTGGAGGGAGCTGGTGGGTCCGAACCGGTCTTGCTTGATTCCTAGCGCCCTGAATTCCAGCTTCCAGGTGAGTCAGGCAGGTTGACCTTGCTCTTGCTCAGCAGGGTAGGAATGTGCCGACTGACTTGTCCTTGCATCTTGTCCAGTGAGCCTGCCCCCGGGGCCCAGCAGTCCCTGTGGCACGGACAGGGTCCCGCCCGCGCTGTCCGAGGCCGAGGAGACGGTGTCTGTCAGCAGCTGTTTCGCATCAGAAGATACAACGGAAGACTCCGGAGTGGTGAGCTCCCCCTCGGACATCATCTCCCTGGATTCCCAACACGACAGCATGAAATCCAAAGATAAGTGGGCCACAGACCAGGAGGACGGCAGTGACCAGGACCTGGCTGGAACCCCGGAACTGGGGCCCCACAAGAGCCCCACGTGGGAGCGGAGCAGCTCTGGGAACTGGCATCCCAGGTGAGTCTCGGGACAGCTGGAGAGGGGGAGCCCCTCCGAGGCTCGGGGAGGAAGGTCTTTTGTTCACGGTGACCCAACCAAGGCACGCCGGGTGCCCTCCAGAGCTGCCGCTCCTGATTTAGGGGCTCATTATCCACGCCCCTGTCTTCGTTCTCTTTCTGGACACGCAGGTGTTTATAGGTAATACCTGAGATTGGCTTGTTTTTCCCGTTATGTAAATAGCATCATATGCTCAGTGTCCTCCTCACTCAACATCATATTTTTTAAGATCAATCCATGATGATATATGTCTTATGAGTTCATTTATTTTTCTACTTTTTAATTAATGGGCACTTAGGTCATTCTGGTTTTCCACACCACTGGAAACAATGAGGAAGTTGGACCTATGTCTCAGTTTTCACAAAGAGAGCTTCCTAGAAGAGAAATTCAGGAAAATTCATCCTCAACCACAGACTGTTGACCAATTGGTCTCCAAAATGATTGGCTTACAGCCCCTCCAGTGGGCTCCACACCGGCTTCAACACCTGTGATCAGTACACCTGTTCATTGCGCCTCGTACAGGTTTCTGATGACACTTCAGTGCTTCTTATTTTTTTATTTTTTAAAGATTTTATTTATTTATCCATGAGAGACACAGAGCAAGAGAGAGGCAGAGACACAGGCAGAGGGAGAAGCAGGCTCCATGCAGGGAGCCCAATGTAGGACTCGATCTCAGGACCCCGGGGTCACGCCCTGAGCCAAAAGGCAGACGCTCAACCCCCGAGCCTCCCAGGTGCCCCTTCATGTGCTTTTTAAATTACAGTTTCCTGATTAGTAAGAATGAGCATTTTGCCATATGTGTATTAGCGCTTTGATTTTTTTCTTGCATGAGTTGCCTTTCCACAGACTGCCCTTTTCTTAATTTTTTTTTTAATATTTTATTTTGAGAGAGAGACTGAGAGTGTGCCCAGGAGTGGGGAGAGGGGTAGAGGGGTGGAGAGTCGATCTTAATCAGGCTCCACGCCCAGCACAGAGCCACACTCAGGGCTTGATCCCATGACCCTGAGATCATGACCTGTGCCAGTATCAAAAGTCAGATGCTTAATGGGCTGAGGCACCCAGGCACCCCCATAGACTGCCCTTTGAAAAATAAACAACTGGAATATGATTTTTTTTAATTTTTTTAAAAAAATCATTGATTTCTTCTTAACCTGTAAATCAGTTTTCTACTACACACAGAGAGTCTTTAAGACTATGCCTTGGGATCCCTGGGTAGCGCAGCGGTTTGGCACCTGCCTTTGGCCCAGGGCGCGATCCTGGAGACCCCGGATCGAATCCCACGTCGGGCTCCCGGTGCATGGAGCCTGCTTCTCCCTCTGCCTGTGTCTCTGCCTCTCTCTCTCTCTGTGTGTGACTATCATAAATAAATAAATAAATTTAAAAAAAAAAAAAAAGACTATGCCTTGAATGTAACATTATTTTCTCTTGTTGCTTAAAAATCGCTTTTTAATTTTAATATTCTTACATGTGTCCCTTTTTTCCTGAAAGTGTGTGATCTTTGCATACGTAAGAGACCCATCTCATCCCCTGAGGGACTACAGATTATCTGAATTTCTTATGAAAGTTTAGTGTTGCTTTCTCACATCTGGGCTTCGCAACTACCTGGGTTTATTTTCGGGTTGATGTGAAGAAGAAGATCTATTTTTTTCCCACTGACTCCCAGCTCTGCTTTGGATCCCACGTATGCCCCCGGCGCTCTGTTCCTTAGCGCTGGTTCATCTGTCTGACATCGGCACAGCCCCCCCACTGCCCTTGTTCCTTCCTTCCTTCCTTCCTTCCTTCCTTCCTTCCTTCCTTCCTAGGAAATGCAGGTTAATTCTCTGTGGCCCGTCCATTTTTTTTTTCACCCTTTAGATGTTTAACACAAACAACATTAGGGAGATATTAACAAAAATAAAGTAGAATAATAATTTCTAAAAAAATCTCTAAATTGATCAACCAAAACAAATGCATGCCTTTGTATTTTTTCATGCTTTGTTCCAGCGAAGTCCCTCTGGACACACAAATCTTGTACCTGGTTAATGTAATCGTAGTGTCAATAGTAATGTATTTTTGATTTATTTTTACCTAAGGATTTATCATGTGCATTTGCCCATTTGTTAATTGTATTGTCTAATAATTTTAACGTCCAGCTCCTCCGTCTTAAGGACCATTTCAAGGCCAAGTTTGTATTTCATTTGGCAGGAAATTAGAAGGTAGCAATTGCTTTCTTCCTCCCTGCCCACCCCCCGCCCCGCCCCCAACACAAGGTGTTGGCCTGTGCCGTTTGCAGCTATGAAAGCAGAGAAAAATGACGGTATTTCCTTAGTCCAGTAAACACTTAAAAAAAAAAAAAAACGTAACTCCCTATGGTCATCTCCAGGTCTCTTCTGTGAGTTTGCCCGGGGATCGCGTACCCCGAGCTCTACATCTGAAGCTAATCAGACGTTTTTAATTCTGGCCCCTAGGGATGCTCGCGTTAGTCACCCTTTGCTTTGCTGGCATTGGCTCCTGATGTAAAATCCCCGCTGACTTCCATCCAAATCTGGGAGTTAATGTTGCCTGTGGCCGCGGCCAGGATAATCATGCCGTCTTTGGAACCTGACGCTTTGTACCAGCAGGGAGAAGGGCATGTTTTTCTGCCCCCGTCTCTGGGGCGCCATGGAATTTGAGAGTAGCGTGGTGGGTGGGGGGGGCTCTGGGTCCCCCAGCACCAACTAGCTGCCCCGTCTTTGCAAGCCCCCGACTTGGCGTAGCCCTGTGGTCTGCGCCTGCAGGCGGGGCAAATGCCTCCCACCTCTCAGAGGTCTGGGAAGCCTATAAATGCCCAGTGTGCTTGGCTCAGTACACATGGCCCGGCTATCAAACAGGATGCATTGTCAGAATTACTACTGTTCGTTTAGGATACGGGGCACCATGAATTTTTGTGGCAGGTCACTTTTCTAAGGATGGACGAAGGAGGATGGAGATAGCCTCTGAGCCCCCCAGGTCTGTCTGTGCTGTTCCATTATCTGCCACGGGCTAGGAATCCACCCTCTGCCCCTGACTTCTCAGGGAATGACCATCGTCAGTGCGATATTGTGATTCATAAGAAATATCTGTCTGGTCATTCAAAGGACCAAACATAAGCCTCCTAAGTATTTGGTCTTCATCCACAGTATCCAGCTCACAGGTCCCAAAAGCCTTGGAATTTCCGGAGTGTCGAGGGTGATAAAGGTCTCTTGTTATGTTAATGGTGCCTTTTGGAATGCACCTTTGGGTGGGGGCTGGTTGCCAAGGGAGCCAACCAAATGACTAAAAGGCGGAACTTGCAGCCCCACTTCCTGACCTTCCTGGGAGGCAAAATCAGCCAATGGTTGTGGACTTAGTGATGCAATGAGGCCTCCTCCAAACCCAGAAAGGACCTGGTAGGAGAGCTGGGTGGTAACACCAACAGGTTGGCCAGAATGGGTCCTGGAGAAGCAGGGAAGCTCCGTGCCCCTGCCCCCCACCTCTCCTTACCCATCTCTTCTTCTGGCTGTTGATTCATATCCTTTATGATATCCTTTAAGAAACTGGTCAACCCAATAAGCATTTCTTGGAGTTCTGTGAATTGTCCTGGCCAATTAATTGAACCTAAGGAGGAGGGCGTTGGAAAGCCCCCAGTCTGGTTGGGGAGGGGGGACTGGCGTCCCAACTGTGGGGCTGGGGAGCAGCCCAGTAGGACTGAGCCCTCCTCCTGTGGGGTCGGATGGTGTCTCCGGGTCCCTAGTGTCAGAAGTGAGTTGAATTCTTGGACAGCCTGCTGGTGTCAGAGGAGTGCTTGCCCTTGAATCTGGAAACACCTAAAAAGTTTATTTTACAGTTTTCTCCACTGACAAGTCAGACCCCCTCAGGGACCGCAGTGTGGCCTATCACGTATTTGTTTCCAAATGTCTGATTTTCCATCGAGTTCGGGGTGCCTGAGAAGCGGGTACAAAGCTGGGATTGCCAGCTCAGAGGCTCACAGGGGCCAGGCCGGTGATGATGGGGGTGGGCAGCCCCGAAAGCTCAGTCTTCTCTCCAGAAAGCAGCCTCGCACCCTCCTTCCAGACTCACCAGGAGGGATCGCAGACCCAGCGAGGCCGGCTTCTGAAGAGAAGCCAGAAATGGAGATTTTTACGTGAGGTCTCCCAAGTTTTCAATATTGGCAACCAAGTCAGACGTTCAGAGCCAAACCAAACACATCTGCGTGTCGGGTGAGGTCGCTCCCAGATGCGCACCCCCCCCCCCGCCCCGTGTGGAGGGGCACCCTGGCCCTTCCTCCTCTGCCCGCGGCTTTTCCAGAGCTGGAATACCATTGGGGTTGCCTGGATGTCCCCTGTGGGACACTCTTGAGAAATATCCTCACAGATAGATACGTGCAGGGTGCAGGGCCTCCTTGCAGCCTCCTCTTCACGCGGTTCAGCCTTCTCCAAATCCTGCAGGAAAGCAGCCTGTTTGAACAGCCCCCTCTGTGCTGCTCACCCCCGCGGCGGAGGATGTTTGTGGGATGTTCGTGGGATGAGGCTCTGACCAGCACTGTTTTTGAAATGCCAGCCGTCCGCACTGTCACACGGAAAGCCCGTGCAAGCCGCCCACCTGCTTACGTGGATAGGGAAGGGTGCATCCCTCTGGGTGAGCGAAGAAGGTTCCAGAGGTGCGCTCTGTGGGCCCGTGTGTGCCAGGGGCGCCGAGAGCCTGAGCAGCAAGAAGCAGGGGGGGCCCCAGGGGGCGGGAGCACTGCGGCCGGACTCGGGTGGGGGCACGGGGCCTGGGCCCGGGGTCGAGTCCGCAGAACTCGGGCGAGCCAGGCGGGGCTCGGGGGTCCAGTCCGGCTGGTGGTGCGGTTCCACGGGACGGGAACCCAGGCTGGGCGCGGGCGGCTCCGGATCCCGCTGGAAGAGCCCCGCTCTTCACGGGGCTGTGGCCTGAGCTTGGCCGCCCGGACAGAGACCTCGTCGGAACAGGCACAAGTTCCTGAC